TCCCCCCCCCCGCCTAATCGGCAAGCCTGATCTTAACATATGCATATTGCAAGATAATTTTTTCACTATTCTCTCTGATTAATTCTTTCTCTATACATCATGTAAACAACAAAAATATATAACTGAATGGTAATCTCATCTAGTGAAAACAATCCAATTAACTCAGAACATTGATTAAGTTCTTAGATAGAGTGTACTGAGATTCGCTGTTTTGCATAAATTTCTCAAAAAACTTACTCTTATTTACTTGAATTTTTAATATTATGGTTTTATTGACTTTCTGGTTTTTATTAAAACGATTTATCAATCAATAAGAGTGCTACTGAAATATGACAAAAAAAAGTATTAATAAAAAAAATTGTTATTTTTTAATCACGCAAAGTGAACAAAGAAAATGATCGTCAAATGCTTCCGTTCATAAATAGACCAAGTTGTTTTTTTAGTTCCGTAGAAAAATGTCAATAGGCACGGTCTTAAAAAAACGATAGCATTCTTTACATTAAGTTTACTAGAAAAATATACACAGCAACAAGTACTATTAAAATCGTTTTTTTAAATGTCATTTTATTTCATTCAAAAAAAAAATATTCCAATAGTGTCTCACTCATTTCTCGTGACACCAAGTTAAATCATGTATCTTCTTTTCCTTGCAATTTTGCTTCGTATTTCAAAAGTAATCGGTAGTTTTTCTCCTGATACAAGTGATTTTGATGCTTATGGTCTTAAAATAGCTGCTAACGATGTTCTTTTTGTTCAAGCATATGGTGATGGAAAAACATTTCTTGTTCAATTTGCTCCATATAATTATATATTTGATTCACTGCAATGTTCAATTGATTATGATGATACAGCACATTATGTTTATTCAGTAGGTATAGGACAAAAACAAACTACAACTCTCAATCCATACTTTTATTTTACTGGTGAAGTTGTATCTAGTGTTTCGTCAGGTAAGGATACGTCAGGAAATAATGGAACATTTATCGGCATTTGGATTAATAAAGATTCGACAACAGTGCAACAGTATTTATCAAGAAGACAATCTATATCTTGTAATTATTTTGCAGTAAATCACCTTGAATTTATTTCGTCATATGGACATCAAGAATTTTTTGTTATGACTGTTGAACCTTATGGACAATATGCAATAGGATTAGCTACCGAATTTGGTTTTATTTATCGACCCTTTTTAAACAACACGATGACTACAAAAGCGGGTACTGATATTTGGCCAAATAATTCTACTTTCAATCCATGTGCAGCTGATATAAGTGAAACATTTACAATTGTTGCAGGTTTCGTCGAAAACTCAGCAAGATCTCGAGTACGTGCAACACCTACTGTTTATTTAATATGGAATACAAATCTTACTATCTTGTCAACATGGTCCTATAGTGCTACTAATAATTCATGGCAATCACGTTTGGCTTATTCAAGTGTTAATACGTGGAGTAGTCAATATACCATGTCAGTCAAAATTAATTCTAATGATCCAACTCGAGTACTTATTGGCATGCCTTTCTTGAATACAGTTTTTCTATTTATTGTTGGTAATAATGGTGCAAGTCTGACCTTAGCTAGTTCTTTCGAAAACGGTCAATCAGTTGGTTATGGTAAAAGTATCACTTGGTTAACAAGTTCACAAGCAGCTATTCTTGTTACAACATATTCATTTAATTATATAACATGGTATTCATCAAAAGTTTATTTATATACATCCTTAAACGATACTATTGTGCCTTCATCACCATCCGCTGTTATTCCAAATGCTCAACAGCCAATACCATCAACTATCAACTCAAAACTAATTCGAATTGTATCAACACCAGCATCTCTTGCCATATTAGATACAAGCGGTGGTGTTATTCTCATATTAGCTGAATCATCAGGTTATTATCCATCAACAGATACAAGCAATTCACCAGTAGCTGCTGCTATGCCTGTTGTTAGTCATTCAACTAAATGCATTGGAGGTACTTATAAACCAAATACTGGTGTTCATCCTTGCATATTATGTCCAAGTGGATCAAGAAATCCAGGTACCATTGCTGGTACATCATGTATGACATGTTCATCAAACAGCTTTTGTCCATTGGGAGCTGTTTATGAAATAAATTCAACTTTACTTACTTCTATATCACAAGCATATGCATATCCTCGTTTACCTGAGATGGATGTATTTGAAGATATTCTTCTTCATAATATGTTTTCATTAGGTTTAACAGGTCATTGTCTCGTAGTTTCACCAATTTTCTGGATATTGATACTTTTACTTATCTTTCTTGTTTTACTTCTTGGCATGGCTTCACTCAATTGGTTTGTTGAACCAGAGAAACGTGATCGATTATTAACTATTATTAAGAATATTTTTCAAAGAACAGATCTTATCGTAAGTAGTGGTCTGCAAAATCTCTTGTTTGTTTGTTTTTTCTTTGGAATAATTTTTAATGCGATATTTTAGGGTGAAGGTGAACTATGGATGGGTGGACTTGCATCAATAGCTATTGTTTTAATAACAGTTATGGCTTATGCTTTCGCTATATCATATTTAAATCAATATCCATCAGAAAAAGTAGGACCATCAACATTTGCATGCGATACTACCATTCGAAATGCTAAATTTCAATCAAGTCTTCAAGCATTAGCTGTTCCTATATCTGATGAAGAACAACCAATGTTTAATTTATTGAATGAACAAAATTTTACTTTTTATTTGGATTTCATCAATACAGCTGCTTCTTGTATGAGTCTTTCAATTTCTGAAGTTACTGATTCATCAACAATATCTATGATTTTATTATCATGTTCTGATTTAAATGGTACACTTTCAGCGACAGTCTTGTTACCACAACATGATATAAAAATTACAGCAACACTGAATGATATTCAACTTGTCGGTGGTGTTCGAGTTGGTCTTTCGGGTCCAAGTGCGAAAAACGACTCAGACACATTAAAAGAATTAAATTTTCGTCAATCCTTTTATAGTAAATCTGGTGGAACTTTTGCCCAAGCAGCGACCATTGATATGGTACTTACTAAGGTGAGTTAGTATTGCGATGTTTCTGTTTTTTTTTTATAACTGAAAGAGCATATTAAGTAACTCCTAAATAATTTCTACCTAAAAAAATGTCAACTGTTTTAATATTCCATTTTCTTTTCAATAGGTCATCAATGAAACAGAACCATTATCTGGTAGTGATTCAGAATTTGAAGGTATATGGTATCCAACATTTACATATAGTCTTAATGAAATGTTCATAACAACTGACACTTATGTCATGTCTGCTAATTCAACATCAACTACATTAACAATTGATATAAGTGAAACATCATATTATATAAAAAATGTTCAATCACCTATTGCTAAACAATCTGAAGTTATATTTCGTACTCTTTTATTTTCATTTTTATGTCTTGAAATATGTGCAATGATATTTCTTATCTGTAAACTTCTTCTTATTCCTATATATCGCAAAGTTGCCGGTCGTTATTTTCCTTATTCTATCAATAGTGTTGAACCAGAATATGAAATGAAATCTAATCATCATTAATATTATATAATCTGATAGATACAAAAAATATTTTTATCCTTTTTGTTTTCAACAAAATTCCTAAACTTTGTCTCCTATTACATTTTATCAATAAAAATAAAATGAATAAAACAGCATAAAATCTAAATTGTAAAAGTTGAATTGTTATTGATATTCAAATGTTCCATTCTTCAATCAATGATTTAAACAAAAGATGATTTTAAAAGAAGTATTACTTGTAGAACATTTTTTTGGATCGAAATATGTCTAAGTGTGTATTACCTGAAGCAGAGTTTTTGGTCATCTGAATTTTAGTCGAAAGAAGAAGTATATGAATATGGATTTGTATGCTCATGATTCACAAAGGACAGTTTGTTTTTAAAATCGATAAAATTCTGTGTGACCAAATTTCAACGTTGAGGAAAAAAATAACCCTCAGCCTGTTCGTCTTACAGAAAAGTAGATTTTTCACGTAATTACAGCTTTTTATTGAAAAACTTAGTAAAATTTCGATATTTCGAGAACAAAGGCCCGGAAAATTAAATCATTCTAGATCTTTCTATGAGTCCGTAGCACTCATCAAGTGTACATCGTCTAGATGTCTTTCACTCTTTCTTTTTTACTATGATTTAAAACTCTTTATGCTATTTAATCTAAAGACAGATGATTGTAATCCCCAAAAAAAGAAATCGACTAACAGTAAAAACATGAGTAATTTATCAAAATCATTATCTTCTTTAACATTCATTACTTCAATATTATTGTATGACTTTATGATCATAACAAATCATTTTTTATCGACCTTTCGTGTCGAATTATTGTAAAATCATTCATATAGATTATACGACATTGACTACATCAACTTTATGAACAATAACATTATGAAACCTATCATTCAAGTTTTTTACGTTTTTGTAAGAAAATATATATTGCGTCAAAATATGCATACTTATGCAATCAAATGATTTTTGTTTATCGTCTATCAACGAAAGAAAAAACAAACATGCTTTTCTTGTTTATAATTTATAGTATCATGAAATACACAATCTTCATTTTTATTCGATGCATTTTATTGGTCAACAATATCTTGTTGCCTTTATTATTCACGCTTGACTGAAAAATCAAAAAGATACCTTTGTCGTCTTTAATAATCATCATTTTACTTTTACAGCTCTCTTTCACTCTCTCTATCTCTCTTTCTTCCGTTTCATCACCTTGATGCATAGATGAGTCATACATATCTATATATATTTTTATTTATTTGAGAAAAGAAAAAAAGAATTAATTGACGGTAAGAATAAGGTAGATACTTATATGGAAAGGCCTTTTATTTTTTACCTATCATCAATTTTGATATGATCAAATGAGAGAAAAGATGAATCGTTTGTCAAGCATAGAAATAGCAGAAGAAAAAAAAATATTTGAAATATTTTTGCACCTTATACACCTGCATGCAAACATAATCAATAAATGCAACTTCAAGAGCAATATCAAGAAGGTTCAAATTCAATTACGCATAGTCCATATTATGGTTGTACGGTACAAGCTGTTTCAAAAGCACATATTGCATATGAAGGAGTTCTTGATGGTATAAGTATAAATAAAGATCGAATCTTTTTAAAAAATGTACGTGTCAAAGGAAGTATACTTGATTCTTCTGATCGAGGTGAATAAAAGACCTGATGTTGTTGTTTTTCTTTTAGTCAATAAAGAATTGTTTTTCTTTTTGTTGCTTAGATAATTCGGTTATAGGACATGACACATTAAATACTGTTATGATTGATCATTTGACTAATGACATGCATATATATGACCAAGTATGTTTAAATGTTCGTGATATACAAGAATTAAAACTTATTCGATTACCACCAACATTTCAAGAATCTAAAGCTAAACTACGTGCTATTGATCCATGTCTTGTTGATATACGTCTGTCACATTCTGATGAACATGATAGAATGTCAAATGAATCAATGAAAGAATATCATCAACTAACACCAATAGCTCGTCATACACGTCGTGAATCAATTGAAAGTAATGGTGGTAGTGTAATGATTTCATCAAGTTCAAATGAATCATCATCATCATTAGGTTATTTACCTATTGATAAAAATGTTGATGATTCATTTAATGAACAAATTAAAAAATTTAGTGAACTTTCAACAGCAACACATACTACATCAAAACCAGTTACATTACTTGCTAAAAAAGTTTTACCAAAAAAAATTCCACGAAATAATCTTCGTCCAATATTGACACAAAATCATGAAAATAAATTTCCATCAGCAGAAGTTAATAATACAAATATAATAAAAAAATCATCTGTAGATAATCATCGTAAAACATCACCTATTCGTGTAACAATTACAAGTAAATTAAATCCAAATGCTACTCCATTTTATGGTCAACAAGGTTCAGTACCAATGATTCGAAATTCATCATTTACATCTAATGAACGAAATCGATTTCAACAAAATTCTCAACCTATTATTTCATCTAATCGTTCACAATCAATACCAAATGAAATCAATACAATCAATCGTCCTGTTCATCAACAAAATCAACATCGTACTTATCAACGATTTGTTCCACCACGACATATGGTTATAAAAAAGCAATTGAATATTCAGCCAGTACCTAATTCGAATACTTATTCTCAACAACAACAACAACAACAACAACAATCTAAACATAAAAAATCAAGCCATGGACAAATACCAGGTTATTTTTTGTTTTGTTTTTTTCAATCTAAAATTTTCACCTCCATATTTGTTGTTATTTCTTAGCATCAATTCATCAAACATCACCGACAGTAATGGATCAGATATTATCAACACCACCTATGCGAGAACGTTTATCAGTACCAATTAATAAACACCCACGTCAATCACCTGTTATTCTTCATTCGACTGGTAGTTTACCATATCAACATAGAAATTCAGGAGACAATAGCCAATTGCAAATGCCGTTATCATTTGGAGAACCAATTGGTTCTCATCGTAGTCAACGTACTGTTTCTGGTACAAGCAGTGGTAGTAGTTTGAGTGTTGATATTGGTCCTCATTCAATAGTTCAACTTGATTCAACATCAAATGCCTTAATATCTAATGAAGGTCAATATGATTTTGAAAAAGCCAATGAAGAATTTCGTCGTTATTTAGCATTGGAAGAATTAGTTACTCGACGTCAATCATCAGCTTGTTCAACAGAATCACATTCAGATGATAATTTAAATCTACAACCATCTCATACAAATTCATATAAAAAAGGAATATCCTTTTTTGATCGTATATCATGTACAGCAACAACAGGTACAGCTGTAGCTTATACGGAAATGGATGAAGTAGAAAAAAATCGTGAAACATTTGGCGATGATGCCCTTCTTATCAGTTCGGATTCAAATGATAATGAATGGCTTATATAAACAACGAAACAATACATAATTTTATTTCATTTTGGTTTGTACATTTTGTTCAGTCAATAATTTAACACAACATTTTTTTTTCGATTTTTTTGAAACGCTGCAGTTCTTTTTCTCTTTTTAATTCTAAAATAAACCACCAAGAATAAATCATTCATTATAATGCATAGTTATCGTAATAACAGTAATTCCTTGAAAGATTGATATTGATTATGTTGATGTATTTGCAATTCATGATAAATATCATACTATCAGATAATGAAAAAAAAACCATCTATCAACAAAAATGAATATATTAGATGCAATAAAAAGTTTACTTAAACTTAAAGAATTCAACCATAAACTTTATTTAATTTTCTATTGTGACGAATGATGTGTAAATGAAAAACATTATTGTATTTTACAAATAATATCTAAAACAAAGATCTTGTTGATGAAATAATATCTCATAAAGTTGATTTAATTATTGAACATACATTAAAAATTTTAAATAATATCCATTTTGTTTTAATACCAAGAATAAAACTTATTTAGTTGTCTTCATTAGAAGGGAGTCAATTTTTCAGATGTAATCAAGCACAATTTATACTCTAAAATAGTCAAAACAATCAATGCGAACCTTACTCATCAGGCAATTTGACATGAAAAAAACACACTAATTTTCGTGTATTATTGGACGATAAACTGTATGATGTACAAGAGGAAAGAATACGAACTTGTTTTTTTTCTTTTTACAATAAAAAACTTGATTTTTTTTGCATTACTCTCATGGATACGACCAAATTTGCGGTCACGGATGTGTGAGCAAGGGGAAAAAAAATGAAAAAAAGACGCGGTCTGCCGCAAAACTGCACAGTGTGTAGTATTCATAGCTACTCATCAGCGTTTTTCTTTTTTTTTCTTTTTATATCTATTGAAATAGGTTATTGAGAATATGCAAGCATTAGTCTTTGCGATTGGTATTATACTATTAGTATTTATACAAAGAGTTAAATCAACGTATTATGTTTATACATATGATGATGGTATTGGTAATGATGAACATTGTTGTCTTGTACGATTAGGAGAAAATTTTTGTGTAGCAAAACCACTTACACGTAGTTTATTACAAGTGAATAAAGCATGTCAACGATTGGTTATAAATGGAAAAAGACAAAATGATTTAAATAAAATTATTCGTCGTTTAAATGTTGAAACATCACAAAAAGTTGGTGATAAAATACTTCTTCAATTACAAACACCATTAGATAAAAATATACTTAAGAATGATCTTCTATGTTTATCATCAGCAACTAATAATATTAATTTAGAAAAATGTTTTATAGAATTAGCTAGTGATCAACAAAAAAAAAAGAGTAAGAAAAACTTTATAAAATATATTGTTTTAGCAAAAAAAAACAAATATTAGAAGATTTAGAAAAATGAAGTAAAAATATTTTTTCGAAGGTGTAAAGACTCTTTAGAATATTATTAATAAGGTAAAATATTTGATTTATTTAATATTATTTTTGTTACAGAAAAAAAAGGTCATCATCTTGGTGAACAAGGTAAAAATGATACAGCTGATAAAGTAGTTACTGAAGAAAAACCTGATAATGAAAATGGAATTCGTCTTATTGAAATTTCTGAACCAATACAAATTCAAGAAGGTCATGGTCTTGCTTTTCATCAAATTTATGAACTTAATCTAACTAGTTTTCGACCAACAACAAATCGAGAACGTCAATGTTGGTCATGGTATCGTGCACATACAAAAAAATTATGTAATCATCCAAGAAATTTTATGAAAACTTGTATTTCATTAAATCATGAAAGAGAAAAATGTGTCGAAAAACTTTTTTATAAAAAAATTAGTGATGAACAACAAGAATCATATATAAAAAATTCTATTACAGTTGGTTCGAAATTATATTGTGAAGATTTTAATAAACAAAGTAAATTTCTTGGTTATCATTATCATAGTGAAATATGTTTTCAAACACATACACAAATTTCTATTCAACATAAATTTACTGATGTTGTTAGTTTATCTGATAAAAACAAAAATAAAGATGTTCTTCATATTATATCAAATGATACAAAATTAACAAATGAATTTGAACATGATTGTCATGATAAAATAACATTATCTGAAATACGAAAATCATTCGAAAAACAAGATGTACCAATTATATCTGGTGATAATGCATCAAAACAAGAATAAAATAAAGGACAAAAAAATAAAACAATACTTTTCAACTTAAAATTTTTTTTTCTCTTTTTTTCTTTTGTTCTTTTTTTTTTCAAATCAATTTTAATTAAAATAAAAGTAGTATAGAATATTTGACAACAAACAAACAAAAAATACAATGTCTATGCTGATCAATGTTGTTTCTCACAGGATCATATTTGACGCTATTTGAAGAAGAAATATGATAAATGATATTTGAATCGATGGTGATGCTGAAAAACAAAATGAATAATATATTTACAAATAGAGACTTGTAGTGAAGTAAAACTAATTTTCTGGTTTTTTCATATTTATGGTTAGAATTTCGTTTGATATGGACTTCCTACAAGTTAAATATAGGATTTTATTCTATTCTATCAGTTAGTTTCGTATCTGGTGTCTATCAATATTATGATTCGGATATATGTTTGTCTTAATGCAAAAAAACACTGAATACTTTAGGGGACCACAAAAAGCCGTTATTCATTTCTTTCATTTCATTACGTTTGATAGCTATCATAGTCCGTGATTGATTGAAAAATTATTACATGCGTCACTTTTTATAATCGAGAATAGTGATTCATCGTTTCGGTAGGTTTTTTTCTCGTCTCTATACTCTGATTTTACTTATTGTAGCAAGAAGTTTAGCAAAGTTTAAATATTTTCTGTACTCACATATCTCAATGTTTTACTGAAGAGAGAATACACTTTTTTACAATGCATGAAACCGTAATTAGCTAACTACGTTATTCGATATCTATTCATAAATTATTGTGTTTATACTTCGGTACCATGAGCAATCGAATGTTCTTGAACTTGAATCCGATCGAACTATACTTTGATGATTTGAATGAAATTTTCTAACCGAAATAGGATAGTCGTCCAGAGAATACGAAATGTTTTTCTCCATTGTTTGGTATGCAGTGAGTAGCGCATCCTGTACATTCTACAGACAAGTAGAGCCCGTTGGGTTCAAAACCAATTCGATCACCTCTACCCTGAACAAGTTAGTAATGGCTGTTTGTCTCAGATCATCTGTCGGATAGCATGCTGACTACATTTGTGACATACACCTGACTATTACATGGTTTGAGAGTTCAAGTGATTAAGCGCCAAAACTTTGAATCAGGTCCATCCTTTGTTTACTAAACTATTGAATTTGTCGAAAGGGAGAGGTATTCTTCCTTTCTTCTACCAAATGACATGGAATGTTATTTCATTATTGTCGTTGCAGGTGTAGGCAACTTATGAATTATAATCAGAATGACTATTTTCGTTCAGAAAGTAACTATATGTTTTTTATCTCTCGAGAAGAGTAACGAAATCCCTATGGTGAATGAACTATTCCTATGAGATAACTGAATAACATTCATCAGTGAAAAAATACCTACCAAGACAAGGTACTTGATCAGCAGATGTACATCGACCCATATTTCTATTAAAACGTTGACCATTTGAACAACGACTATGATTTACTACACGATTATCTAAACATTGTATATATGATTGACAATTTGGTTTCGTTCGATCAAGATAAAATCCATCACCATGACCAGCACATGATGGAACAAAACCACATAAACTTTTTCCAGCATCATAATTCGATAAATAATGACCTCAATTTATAAAAAAAAAAAAAAATAAACAAACAAACAACACTGTCTATTAAAGAAAAATTTTCTTATTATTTGTTTTTCGCTTGTTACTTACATTTACTTAAACATTGTCGTCGTCCATCACATTTTACCTTTTTATATGGTAAACATTTACGAATTTGTATGTCAAATAAATTTGGATGTGAACATGATTGAAGAATTAATTTACCTGATATACATTCATAATAATGACAACAGCTTGTTAAATCAACAAAACGAGCACCTTCATTTTTATCTGTACATTTATTATTACCTATTCAAAATAAATTTTTTTGAAAATTTTTTTCATCTGTAGTAACTCAAAAAAATGATTAAACAAGATTTTATTTCGATTTTGTTTTGCGTAATGATAACTCACATAAAAAAAATCTAATAAAGAGTTGAAAGAAATAAAATCTTCACAATATGCGCAAAATCTAGAGTCTCTAGTAAACCCTCAATTTTTTTTTTTTGACGGAACTATATTGATATTAAGAAACACTAAAAACTGTTGATTCCGCTATTTCTTAAGAAAAAAACCGGACAAAAAGTATTTTTCCATTTCTCTTAAAATTAATGTAATCCAATTGAAAAATCTCGTGAAGAACTTGGAAATGTCTAATTTTGTAGAGAATTAGTTGCTTTGCATTATCAAAAGAAAACTTTATTTTCGAGTTATGGATAATGAAAAACTAAACTTCTCGTCAGAATTAACGAGAAATGAATGTTATCTTAATTGTTCGATAACAGCATCAGTAATCGAAAGAGTAGAACTCCGGACGTATTTTTATCTGATATGATATAAGAGATAATTATCCTCGAATCCCTCATCTTCACAAAACATCCGAAAAAATGCTTGAAAATGATGTTGCATTGAACGAAAATTTTACTAAAAATCAAAACAATCCTATATAATTTAACCCGAATAGATATGTAATTTTGTTTGTTCATCATCAAGATAACCACCTGATATCATTTTTCTGCATTTGTTTTTTGAATTTTTTGAGACGATGATGAGTTTTAAAACAATTTTGTCTTATAAAGTATCAGATAAAAACATGTTCGGAATTCTCCTCTTTCGATTGCTGAAAACCACAAAAAAATTTATCTATTCAAATGATTATTTGGATTCTTTATGCAAGTTACCATTACGGAAAGAAGAAATCGAAATTATAAATCCTTATGATCAATTTTTGAAGCCACTATATAAAAGAAATTTATACATAGAACATTTTGTGTATAATCACAACTTTGTTTTTCAGGATTATATTGAAGTTGTGCTGGACAATGTGATATAAGATCAGTACCATGATAACAATCATGATAAATTGAACAATCATATGGATCCGGTACACGCCATGATTGACTTGAAGGACATATTATTGATGGTTTATAAATATCAGATGATGGTTGAGGAACTGGTGAATCAGTTAAAATATAGGATGACGGATAAGTTGTGTCTCGACGTATCCATGGAACATTACGAACAGTCGATAACGAAATAGATGGTGCAGAAGTAAGAAGACTCTTCACTGGACCTGTAAATTTTCGAAGAAAACTTATTTAAAAAAAAAAAAACTTTCTAAAGATAAAGTTACAGTCCGATTGCGCGGGCCAAACACACATTTTTTCAGCTTGTGACCAAAATAAACCTTTTTTACAAAGTTTAGCTTGTGGTACGCCTAAAAGAGAAGTTAAATTTGATTTATTTTGATTTCAAAACTTCACATATTTATTTTAATATAAAAGATGAATAGAATTGTGCAAGATAAATAATCTTTTTCGATTTTCTATATAGAAACTCAATAGTCATCAGATTCTCGTTGATATTCAGTCAATATCAACCTTGATATTGTCTATGTAGAGATACCTCAATAAAAGTTAGTAGAGTGTACTTCACTCATTTAACTTTAAAATAGAATCGCTTACAAAATTGATTTTCGAACCAATGTTTTGATTCATTTTAAAAACAAATTAATGCGAAAACCTCGGATTTGAATCCGAGTGTTATGTGTACTTCAAAAAGTAAACAGGTATATTCGCTTTGGTTTTTATCATCTGAGACATATCTAGCCTATTTGATTTCTCCATGCAGTTTTTATGCCTTTTTAGACCTTTTTCAGGCGATGTTTTGTTAGAAAGCTACGATTTGGTTCGAAACTAATATCAGATTCGGAATCACCGTTAAAAACTAAGTCGATTTATATATGTTGTGAATAATTCGGAGAAAAAAATTTTTTTTTTGAAAAAATCCCTGTACCCCCCATCAGGGATGGTCTGGTCAATAATGACAATTTTTTCGATAACTCAGCCATTTCGTGACGGATCCTTCTCATCTTCGAACTCGACCGAGACATTGTTAAGACTGAACTGTGTAGAAAATTTCATCACGATCTAGCTCTCCTTTCAAAAGTNTGTGAATAATTCGGAGAAAAAAATTTTTTTTTTGAAAAAATCCCTGTACCCCCCATCAGGGATGGTCTGGTCAATAATGACAATTTTTTCGATAACTCAGCCATTTCGTGACGGATCCTTCTCATCTTCGAACTCGACCGAGACATTGTTAAGACTGAACTGTGTAGAAAATTTCATCACGATCTAGCTCTCCTTTCAAAAGTTATCGTGTAAACGGACGGACAGACGCACACACTAACCGATTCTAGAGTGTACTCAGTTTTTGAGTACACAAAAAATATGTAAACACGAGACAATTATAATTCAAACACGGTAAACATTTCGATTATTCTCTTTATAATTAAACTTTTATACAATTTGTTTCTAATTGAATTTAATCTGAAGTCTTGTAATTTATATATACATCAGGAATGATACTATTTTTAATAAAAAGAATTATATCGTTGTATCAATGATCAATATTTTCTATGTAAACACTAATTGTAGTGATTGAATCGCCTAGACTTTCTTTTCCTTAGTAAACAAACGACATGAATCTTTCTCTCTTAGTTTAATTGTAAGAGTTGTTTTACTCGATGTCACGTCTATTCTTACCATTTGCACAATAAGCATATTGTTTACAATCAGTTGAATGAGCTATATAGTCATTATCAACAGATTGACATAAATAATCAAAGATCGAACCACGTGATGAATTATTCTTCGAAGGAATCTTATAATCTAAAATAAATTTAATAAAGATAGTTCTTTTCAATTTGTATTTCAACCTGGTGAATAAAGAATATGTGTTGCTGTTGTAGCTGGAAGAGTATCTTCATATGATGTATGATTACAATTAACCTAAACAATTGCGAAAAAAGAAGAAAAACAAAAATCTAGATTTAAAGAAAATCATAAGAGATTATTTTACATTCATAGCCCAATCACATTCATTTTTAAGTGGATTAAATAAAAGATCGTCTTTACAAGCTTTGACTGAATGTGTTGTACCAACGCAAATATGATAAATCCAACAATCACGTTTATCTGGAAAAAAACCATCTTTTTCACATATAAAATTTTCCGTTTTTGCTACTCGAATGATAATAATAACTATGTTTAAAACGAAAATAATTTTATTTTTTGTTTAGAAAAATAATATTAATATAACTTACAAATAATTAATAAAGAAAATAAACGTCGATTTGACTCGTATGACATGATGATAATCGAACATTCATTGTAAACATTTTTCAAATAACATTTTTCTTTTATTCTTTATTAAATCATTTATTATAAGTGATAATAAAGAAGAAGAATTTTGAGACAAATTATTCTGTTGTTGTAGCTTCAAATGTATGCTTATTCTTTCTTTACATTGATGTATGATGAACAAACAAACGAACGAACGAACGAAACAAAGAGAAAAAAAGAGGAAGTTATTTAAATAAATGTTAATACCTATACCGAACACTCAATGAGAAAATACTAGAAAGATGAAGGGCGCTGAGTAAAAGAATGAATCGAATTCGAAGAAGAAAAAAAAGAAAGAAAGAAGTATGGTAGTACAACTTAATAATAACACATATTTAATGATCTTGAAGTAATCTTTTGTTTCTTGTACATATATTGAATTAGAAAAGAAAACAAAAAACATCTGCTATAAAGGACATATTCATTGTTCATCGAAATACATATGACATTTTCAAAGTGAAAATATCGACCATCTGTGATAAAATAAAAGAAAATTTTTCATTAAGCTATGTCAATTCTTTTATCCTTCTAAAGAATCTATCAAAAGTTTCTTTTAACTAATACCATTGATAAAAAGTGCGACAAGTTTTTTATTCTCAACATTGATAAAACAATGCGTTAAGATTAATGTGTGATTAGTCAAAGGTTGATTACGTAAATTTATTCTTTCTTCTAAATATAAAATCATTTATGCATGTATTTAGATACTTTATGTCATCTCAAACACATTTCATTGTTATTGTCATCAATATAGAAATTCTTTAGTTCAATAAAGATGAAAAACAAAATTCGATTTTTCTTTTATAAATTCACAAAGAAAAAAAAAAATCTCAAGTCCAAAGATTTGTAATGATGATCAATATGTTCGAATACATCAGTTCAAGTAATAAACATATGTTCAAGACAAAACAAAACAATCATACCATTCGTAATCTTTCATATTTTAGCACGTTTCAAATTAGGGCATGCTTTACATAATCTGCATTATGTTGTTTTCATTTTGTATAGCAGCTTTAGATACAATTATTATTATTTATAATGGCATACATCGAGTACCAGCCATATCATTATTCGAATTTTCGATTGTCGTATGTAGAGCTTATCAGGTGCAAAAATTTTTAGATTAGAATCTGGTCGAGTCTATGTTAGAGACCAATGCGACGGATCAAGACAAAAAAAAAAGTTATTTCTGATTTATCTGTAGTATGTGAATAAGATTTGTTTCTGGTAGACAATTAGTTCGCCCTTTTTAATCCATCGATTAAAGATAATTGTATTCGGTGACAAAAAAAATATTTGTCACCAGAACGTGTTTATGCTGCAAGTCGATAAGAAGTAGACGAACAAGGCGAGAATAAACTAACATATTGAAGTTATTCTGCTACATGCGCAATCTAAAGTCGAACGACTCCAAAGAGATGGTTTCAATCTATGAACGAGATGACGTCACGTCATATATACACATCAGGAATCATAGAGTGATGTGAATGAGAATTTCAGACATTTTATAAAAATAACCTCAGATGACTACTGAACAGTCAACATCTCAATATTTTTTATTATTACATGTAGGATACTATCATCAATAATATCTAATGAGATAAAGCTTGAAGTTATGGTTTACTAATTGATGAAATAAGAAAATGAAATCGTTGTTTATTTGTACAATTAATTTTCGATTCTTGCTGAAAGTTGACTACGAAATTCATCTTATTAGAAAAAAAAAATTTGTTTTTTTATCAATATTATTCAAGAAAAATTAATCAAATGATTATTTTAACTGCTGACAGTGGAGAAAAATCCATTGCGCTAACTTAATGAGTGTCTCCATAACAATATTGGACAGTTATCTAACTACTAAACCGGTTGAGTAGATGCCGGGTCTGAACACTGAAAGTTCAGCGTATGCCTATTACATTCCAATTTATTCATTTCTATATTTCAGTGCAATTTTTGAAGACCATATTCATGAATTTATTATATTGAAATATTAGCCACTATTATATAAAAATAGAAAAAAATAATAAAGTTTATTTTTTGATTATGACAGTAACATATAATTTCAAATTTCTTTTTCTGAAAAAAAAAATTAAACAGAAAGTAGTTTATTATAAATTAAATCAATTGTGTCAGGTGCAGTCATAGCCTTTAAAAGACGTTTTAATAAAATTTCATTATTTGATTCATCAGAACATGTATTGGTAGAAACATTATCACTCGAATTTGACAAATTAATATGTCCAAATAATGCACTTGTTAAACGTTGTTCATGTACATTACTAGCTGGAGTAATGATATATCGACATCGTTTTGACGGAGGTTCTTTTACTTCTTCTGTTGAATCCGAATCCGTTAATAAACTGGATAATAAAGTCAAATTTATCGTTGGATCAGTAGCAATCTAAATATGAGAATTTAACCAAAAATAAATGAAACAGTTCTTTTTTGTCTCAGATATTCATACTTCACGGTGATTTAACCATTGATCAGGCGAATAATCATGTGCTATCATAGTTGATGTAATAATTTGTCGAACAAGCATTTCTTTGATCCGTTCTACATGATCATCAGGCTATGTAAAAAAAAAATCTATAATCTTATTTATTCAATTCAATATCATACTTGATCTAGCCAACTATTAACTGAAATCGTTATTGAGTCCAGAGATGAAACAAAATGCCACCAATGTTTGGGTACAAATAAAACATCACCAGGTTCAAGAGTTATATCATAAACATCAATATTCTACGATAATTTAGTTTACATAATAGAATAAGAAATTTACTTTGAATTTATCTAATACAGATGAATCAATATCAAGATAAACACTTGATTCTTCATATGGTATACGTGTTTGTAATTGACCTATTGGACTATTTGGTGGAAATAGTAACCATCGTTTTCTAAATTCAATTAAAAATTTTTATCATTGATAAACAATTCTATGTTTTAAGATATCAACAACTCGAACTTTAAACGAAATTATTATTTTTAGCATTTTTTCGTCATGATTGGATAGAACTAATGAAATAGAAACAAAGACTAGGACAAACACTTTTTCCATTGAGAATGATATCTTTTATGATCGTGTAAAACTTCCTTCGAATGCCATTTTCTCATGACTCGTGCATTTTAGAAGTTTATGCGAAAATAATTGAACAAAGATCACCTCAATGTTTGTTGTTACAATGCTGTTCAAAAACATATCGTTTGATTGTTTTAAAGAATCAATTTCTTCGACAATGATAGCACCAAAACTCATAAATACAAGCTTGTATTCAATGATTTGATCATCAGAACTTAAATTACGAAATAAATAAATAAATAAATATCATATTCAGAATCAGCACAAAAATTTGTATCAAATAATATACTTAACATTCAAAATTGATTTTCGTAAAATTTTAGTCTTTACTTTTCTTAGTGTTATTTTCGAATACTCTGATTAGTGCTCTCTTGCTAAGGTCGAAATTTAACAAAAACTAGATTCAAATATTGAAAATACTAATCGATGCAGGTTTTTACTTTAATTTTGAATGTAATATTCATTTTATTCGAAACTGAAGTTTCTTATAGTCAAAATTGTTGAATACAAATCTTCTTAATAATCAATGAATATTTTTTAAAAAGAATATATGAGTATTGTTTTAACAATATGACAAGTAAAATCAAAAAAAAATAACTGAGACTTTACTTTCCAACAATTTGAGCAACAAAATTAATTCCATAAGTATCATAATGACATGGTGTATGAGATCCTTGAGAACCAATCCATAATGTCGATTCTTTTCCACATCGATTTTTTAAACCCATATCAGACCATTTGATCATCTTTCAAAAAAAAAAAACATTATTATTTACTTAATTTAATCCATATACATACATTGATTAAAGGATGTTGATCATTTTCGAATAATTCAGGTATATGCATATAATCTGCATATGCAAAATATTCTTTATTTGAATATTGTTTTAATGGATGATCAATTGGTAGAGAATCATTATTGATTGATGTTGTCCAACAAAGAAAATCATCGACAGTTGATTGAATATGAATACAATCTTTTTCAAATTGAACACGATCACCTTCAACAAGTATTTTATATATTCAAAGTTTTGATAAAAAGTCAATTTATATGAAGATATAGTATCAAACTAATGAGCGTGAACATGAGAAATTTTCTTAGATCTTTATATGGTGGTTTTCTATAAAACCAGGTTTCTAGACTCAGAGATATTTTACCGAAATTGTTTTGAGCTTGCTCTGATTATAGAGTATATCGAATTTTTAAAATAATAATAATCTTTCCTATTTTCTAAAAAGTTAACTTTAAATAACATAAAACTATCATATGGACTTTCACATGTATCTGTTATATGAATTAAAGTAACTGTATTTTCTGTTCATTAGACAGTTAAATATGTTTCTAATGGGTGATTAAAAAATAATTAGACAAAATATTTATTCATTTTTCAGTCTACTTAAAGAATCTGCAGAAACTTGAAAATATTACGTTAGAATCAAAATTTTTTAAGACTTTTAATTTAGAAGTTATGAGTCGATTCTTTTAAAGATCCATAAATTAAGTTTGAACGAACTTTAGTTCACTAAAGTTTACTCAAAGTAAAAGCGAAAATTATTTTTCAATGCAGCAAATGAAAAATCGAACATTTCTCTATAAAATAGTATACTATGGAAAATAGATTTGTAAAATGAGCTCAATGATTCCTGAATGATTGTTCTGATTCTTATATCACTTTATAAAGAACGAATAAAAAAAAAGACACATTTTAGTCGAAAATTTTGTTGCTCTGAAAAATCAGAATGTGAAGATCGCGCCCTAGACTTATCTTAACTAAAGACTTGCATCGAAGTCTCCCATTAATAAATGAGACTTAATAGAAAAGACTTATTGAATTGTAAGTTTTATTCTTTAGTATACATTGTACAAACTGATATGTTGTCCGAATTCAATTGATATTTCTTCAAGGTCTATGCTTATGAGAAGAAATCAAAGTCAACCTTGACTCTATCTTTTTCTCATCTTTGTAAAGTCTTGAGAATATATCATTCGAGTCTCCAAACTACATCAGTCTGTATAATGAATATTACACTTTTCAAAATGACTTCGACCAAAACAAAAAGATATTATGTATCAAGTCTAATAGAAATTCATTATTTGATAAGATTTATTTATTTTTGATGTTTCATCATTTTTCGTTTTCAATGAACTTTCGATCTGCATATTTAAATATAGTTATTGGTTTTTTTTTTGTTAAACTACAGTAGGTATTCTTTATTAATTGTGAACTTTCCTTGTGTAAAAATAGGCAATGTTATGATAACAATCTTTACTCTAACCGTAGTTTCTTTTTTTTTTCTTCTCCTAATTGAAATTCTAGTTTTGTACTGTTCTTTTGTTTATTCAAGCATATCTTAAGGACAACATAGCAGTATTCATTATAGGCCATCAAGGTTTATAGAATATCTTAGTAATAAACTACCGAATAATGACTTTTGTCGTTTGCCAACTCGAAATGATAATAATTTTTGTTTGAGTAAATCAGCCAAACGTTGTCCTCCTATCCATGAATGTGAATCATCAATAATCGTTGCACCTTTGAATAAATATGGTACATTCCAATGTGTTGCCGATATCATCATAGACGATGTCATTTTATCTAAATATTTAATTTTTTTTTTTTGAATATTATTTAATAGAACTAAAATTTATTTCGTTTTATCCTATTGTTTGTCAATTATAACTTTATATATTATCAGTCATAGATATTATTCGATAATCAAAAGTTTACAAGTATGCAATATATAATTTTAATTTATATCTCAACATATGTATATAAATATGTTTTTTTTTCACACTCGTACGGTCGACTGCGTTTGTTCTGCACACATCATATATGTATATAAATAGGTATGTGTGTATAAGAGACTTTTGTTCTTCTTCGTTGACACTCATTCTTTCGTCCTGTCTAATATTCAAGGTGAATCCATCGTACGAAAGAAGAAACATAACCATATTTCTCCTATTATTTCAAGAATAAATTTCATATCATGTTCAATAATTAATGAACATGACCTTCAACATCGTGTATCAAAGCAAGAAAGAGAGTGAGAGAGAGTGAGAGTGAATACGATATAATCATTATTACTTCACAATTGAAAGTAATAAAAGAACAATAGATTATTTGGTTATCAACTTATTCAATTATCAAATATGGGTAATCGGGTAAGATAAAAAAAAATCGAAAGATAAACAACATTTAAACTATTTATTTTGTTTTGGTCTTTAATAATTACATACACATAGTCAATATTAAGAGAAAACATATACAGATGTATTTATATACATATAAGATAATTATTCAAAATCTCCATCATCATGTTCATCATCAGATGGTTGTTGTTGTTGTTGATCTTCATCTGATACATCATCATCTTTAATAACAGTTAATTTTCTTTTTCGTCCACGTCGTGAAACTTCACCATTAGTTGTAATAGGTGTTGTTATTCTTGTACCACGACCTCGTCTTGATGATGTACGAGGAGTTGTTGCTGTTGTTGTTGTTGTTGTTGTTGTTGTTGTTGCTGTCGTTGTTGTTGTTGTTGGTTGTTCATTTGCTGTTGGTACTTGAATAAGACCAGCATCAAGTTGTTCACGTAAATTTCTATAAATTTTTTCTAATAGAATTGAATCAGCAAAAATTAATGATGTTTCACAATTAAATGTTTGAGCATTTTGTACAAGTAATTCAATATCATATTGAAATTCATCTAAATTTGAATATCTATATGTATCAATTTTTCTTTTAATACGTTGAAAATCAATTGGATCTTTAATTGTTTGATAATAAATTGGTAATTGTTTTTGTCCAGGTAAACGTATAAATGGTTGTGCTAATTGTCGATTATCATCTGTACGATATGCTAATAAACGTTCAAGTAATAAACGACATTGTGGTGCTATTTTAGGATCAACAGTTTGTAAACGTTTTTTAACACTACCACGTTTTGATGAATAATTTTGTTGATTTATTATTGGTGTTGATGGATTATCAAATGATGAACGTGCTTCAGTTTCATCAAGATCAATATCATTATCTTGTGATGATAATGCACTTTTACGATTTTGTTTTTTTAAACGTTTTTGTTCAACAGCTCCATCTAAATTACCTTCTTCTAATGCTTGTAAAAATTCTCTTTCAGTTAAATTATCACTATAATCAATATCTTTACGTTGACGACGACCTTTACCAAAATCTTCATCATTTTCAAGTGTTTTTTCAACTTCTTCAACATCATTTTTTAACCATTCAGGTAATTCATCATCGGTTATAAGACGATTTATTTTCATTTTACGATGAACACTTGGTGTTGCTTGAGAAAAATCAACATCTTCTTCATCTTCAAGATCTTCTAATGGTGATGGTGTTGTTTCATCATTTGTTGTTGTTGTAGTTGTTGTTGTTTCTTCACCTCCTCGAGTACCTTCATCATCACTTTGTTCAATAAATGCTGTTGTTATTTTCCTAATAGACGAAAAAAAAAAAAACTAATTAATTGTTATTCACATCCAAAAATAAGGCAGATTAATGGTTTTTTTTTTTCGAATAACTTTCGATATGGACATTATAAAGACCTACGGTTTTTATCACTCAAGAGAGAAGATTTGAGGTTATCGGAATTTAATTGACCGATAGGATTAATTCTTGGTGGAAAGTTTTGAAAACGATATTTTGAAGTCATGTCCCTTTCGATTTAGGCTTATGATATGATCAATCGATTGGGAAAATTCTTCTCACTCGATCTACATAAGATTGGCAATCCTAATTGGTTCTATTCGAGAGTTATAAGACTTTTTCTGAAACCTCTGACTTCAGTCAATTGACCTATGATAACCCACAAAAGTATCTAGGCAAGAATAATCTTGATATAGTATGTTTTAAGGTTCGAATTGATCTGTCACTGTTATTTAAATATTTCTAAAGTATCGACTTCTTCGTCATATATAGTGGCTGGTCGTGAAATTTTAGAAATATTGAGATAAATGTCATCGATTCCAATCTAAAAACAAATATCACTATTGAACTTAGTATGATGAGTTACCACTTCTTAGTCGCTTTTGTCGGTGATCACAGGTCTATTGAATAAAAATTGAGATCTTAGGAAAATCTTATAACTATTGAATGGAACAAACTAGGAACTTTGACCTTGAGTAGATCGAAAGACAATAATTTTTCCAATTGATTAGCTTTATTCTAAGTATAATTTGAGAGAAAGAGAGCTTCACATTATCACCATCATGAACTCACCCAATCAAATTTTGATAATTCCGACTTTTCTCTCTTTAATCGGTAATAACCGCAAATATCTACGATATCCCTATCGAAAGTTATTCGAACAACAAAAACATTAACTTGCTTTATATTTTGACATTAATAATAGAAAAAAAATAAAATGAATAGTTACTTTTCATTCGCAATAATTTTAGCTGGTTGATCTATTGAATCTTCATTATCACTTTCTTTTTTACGTTTAAATCGAGGTGTTTGAAATTTCGTATCATCAGTTATTGTTATTGTTGTTATTGGTGTTGCAGCTGTAACTAATTTCCAATGACGACGTTCATTAGCTCCATCACCACCACTACCAACACCATGTAGAGATTCATATTCACGTCGTGCAACATCCATACGATTGAATAAATTAAATTCATATTCAGTTCGAGCAGTCATCTATGAAAATAAATTATTTTAATTAAATTTAAAGCATTCGATCAGAATAAGAATTTTTTCTAAAATCTATAGATTAGTAAATACAAGTAAAATTTTGCAAGGTCGAAAAAATGGAAATAGTTATATCATCTTGATTTCTTTAACCCTTTCAGGCCCATGGCTCAGCCAATGGATGAAATGTCTTTGAGACTTTATATTTAATGCGTACAATGTGCGTTGTCGATATTTTCATCAAAACTTTTTAAAAATCTTTCAAGTCATTTTCGACCCATACCCGTATCCCCCTACGGGGATGTCAAGAACTATTTTGCCCATCCCTGTGGGGGAGTACGGGTGTGGGTCAAAAACTACCTGAGCGATCTCATTAGAGTTATAAATCTGATATAGATATATGCGCCTAAGTCTCTTCTATGTCATAATGAAAACCGCTTCTCGATATCTTTTTGCATTCGCGAGTTATTCAAAGATTACGAAAATTGAAAAAACCGTACTATATTTANACATGTGTGGGACAGTGGGCCGGAAAGGGTTAATAGGAGAAGAAAAAAAAAACTGTTTGCAATGTAGTAAAAAGTCATTGAATATACTTTTTTGTTTTTTAAATAAACTTACTTGATTAAGAATTTCATCATCAGGTATATCTTCATCATCATCTTTAATATCATCGTCACCTTCAATTAATTGTTCAAGATAATCATGTCGTTCACTTGATGTTGATGAACGATTAAACATACCAGCTTGTATAACTTTTTCATCAACATTTAATTTATATCTCGCACAAGCTAAGATTTTTTCTTCAATTGTATTAACTGTCATTAAACGTAAAACTCGTACTTCATTTTTTTGACCTTGCAAAATTTTACTTGTATTTACTAATCTATAGATTTTAGAAAAAATTCTTANATATTGAACGATGTGCACGATCTTGTGCTTGTTGATCTTGATGTGGATTCCAATCGGAATCAAATAAAATAACAGTATCGGCTTTTTGTAAATTTAATCCAACACCACCAGCACGTGTTGATAATAAAAATATAAAAGAATCTATACTATCATCATTAAAATTTTTTAATAATTCACAACGATCATCAGCTTTTGTTGTACCATCTAAACGTATATATGTATAATTTCTATAAGCAAAATAAATTTCAAATAAATCCATAACAGCAGTCATTTGACAAAATAATAAAACTTTATGTCCAGTTGCTTTTAATTTTGGTAATATACGATCAAGTAATTCAAATTTACCTGATACACGAAATAGATCAGGTCCATTTATAAAACCATCTTTATAACCAAGTGATTGTGCTAAACGTTCTTCAATTTCATCGAATAAAAATGGATGATTACAAATTTTACGTAATTGCATTAATTTATTCATTAAGGCACGACGACCACTTTTACCATTTTGATTTTCAATAATTAATGTACGATTTTTTGACATAGCATGATAAAGACAACGTTGTAATGCTGATAATTCACATTTGATTATATATTCAACCTAAACAATTATATAGAAATTTAATTGTTTTAAAACCAATTTTTCTCAGAAAATTGTCAAGAAAATCTTTTTGATATTTATTCTTTTTTTTTTTCTTGTTGTTTAAAAGAGCATGTGTGAAGCTGTAAGACCCGTTTTTTCTAACTAAAATGTTTGTTGAATATCTCCAGAAAACGACATGATTAATATTTATCTTCAAAATGGTCTATACTACTTGTTAAAAATTAAAATCATCTTATTCCATATACGGATAATGTCTTCGTTAGATTTTTAACAGAATAAATTCTATATTCATAATTAACATACGTAGAATTCTATTAGATAAAATATCAATTTTAAACTAATACTAACTTTTTCTGGTAATTGTGATTCGACTTCTTTTTTAAGTCGACGTAATAGAAAAGGTCTTAAAACTTTATGTAATCGTCTTATAATTAATAAAGTTTCTTCATGATTTAATTCAACTTTTTCACTTGGTAATGTTGCAAACGGTGCATTAAACCAATCTGTAAATGTTGTTGCACATTTAAATATAGTTGGTAAAATAAAATTTAATAACGCCCATAATTCTGGTAGATTATTTTGTAATGGTGTACCAGTTAATAATAAACGATGTGGAGCATGTATATAATATGTATTTAATATTTGTGTTAATTTACAATGATGATTTTTCATTCGATGACCTTCATCAACAATTAAATATTTCCATGAAACTTTTGATAATATTGAACGATCACGCATTATATATTCATATGTTGTTAATAATACATTAAAACGATTTGTACGTATTGATTGTGCAAGCATTTTACGTACATGTGGTAAACCTTTATATTGTATAACACCAACATCAGGTGCCCAACGTTGAAATTCTGCTGCCCAATTTGATAATGTTGATAATGGAACAATAATTAATGATGGTCCAGGATTTTTTTTATAATCAATTAAATGAACAATTAATGCAATTGTTTGGATGGTTTTTCCAAGACCCATTTCATCAGCAAGTATACCATTTAAATTATTATTATATAATGAAACAAGCCATTCAAGACCTTGTAATTGATATGGTTTAAGTTGTCCACCAACAAGCAT